ACAAAGGATGACCTGAGTCACACCACCACAATCAGCACACAAGAATACAGGCCAGTGTAACCACAATCAGTAGTGGTACACGCACCCACACAGAACTGCTGATACTGCTGCTGCTGTCTGCATCACCCTTCTTGTTGTTTGTGAGTTCAGGAGGAAGTGTTGTTGTTGTTGTTGTGGTGGTGGTGGTGGTGGTTGAGGTTGAGTCCTCATTACTGATTGTAGTTGAAGTTTCAGAGTTCGTACTTGCTGAGTTATTTGTTGCTGTCTGTGCAGAATTCTCACCACCCACGGCTCCATTAGTATGCGAAGATGCTGAAGGAGTAGATGGTTCTGTACCAACACCTGCTTGAGGTTGTGTACCACTGGCGTCTGCATCGTTAGTACCTTGTGTACTATTCTCGATATTTAAACTCTGTGCATTTTCAGACTTTTTTTCTTCAGTATTAGCATTGGGGTCCTCTTCAGTGAGAGAGCCAACAGTATTCTTTTCACTGCCAGAATTGGATACTCCATTATTTCCTGATTCCGTTCTCGCAACTACTTGTTCATTTTCCTGCGAAACCGCTTTACCTCCACCTTGAATTTGATCGTTCTGATTTTCTGTTGAAGAATGAGCAGCATTGTTTCTATTTCCTGAAACAGGTTGTGATGGATTGGCAGGTTGAAGAGGAGAGTGAGTATTCCCTCCTGGTAGTTGAGTTTGTGAAGTGCTCTGAGGATCAACGGGACCTTGTTTCATTTTATTTTCCTTATCTGTGTCACCACCAGAAGGACCAGGTTCTCCTTTAGACCCAGTAACACCATCAACAGGTGTAGCTTCTTCAGCTGCGCGAGGTCCACCCTCAACATTAACTTTAGGAATAGTAACTTCAGTATTAGTGTCTGCCAACACAAAACTGCAGATAAAACAGAGTGTGATGGTCACAACACACAGCACATGCCGTATTGCCATCATTACTTTTTTTTCTTGGTGTTACTATCTTAACTCAGTGGTCCAAAGAAAAAGAAAAAAGAAGAAATGGAGAACAGAAACAAAAAATAAAAATAACAGAAAATAACGGCATCACCCATGAATACAAGAGAGTTATAACAAATAGCAACAACGTTAAAAGAAGCAGAAGAATGATTATTTACTTTCAGAAGAAAACATATAAAACAAAAAGGTCGATAACACAAAAAAAAATAAAATCCTCAGACATCTTGCCCATAAGCATGAACATACCATTGGAGTGCCTTCTTCTCAAGCATGATGGCTTCTAATCGGTCTTCCTCTGCAGCTGTCTGCCTCTCCAGTTTCGTACATTTCAGCTGCAGTTCTTCCAACTCATCCTTCACAGCAGTCATATCGTGCCTCACACGTTGCAGCT